GGAAACATCATGGGAGATATCATAGCAACTTGGTAATCAGAAAAAAAAGAAAGCCTCCCCCTGCAGGTACTTTTTTTAGCATAATTCTATATATTCTAAGCATGGACAATCCCAGTCAAGACCTGGAGAAGGAACGTCCCGGCAGAAGGAACAACACACACAAAACCCACTCTGAAGTAAGTTTGGTATTGCCAGGAACAGAAAGATGATTCAGCAGAACGCTGCAGGGAGGCAAGGGAAGGTACGTGGGTAGGCATAAATGAGACACAGCCTTTATAGAATGAGGATTTCAAATTCCATAAGGACAGTGGAAGCTTAGAAAAGTTGTCATGATCTGATGTGCATGCACTTAGCTTACTTCAGCATCACAGTGGTCTTGAGGAGGATGGTAAATGATGATGGGAGGTGGTGATAAGGGTGAATTTACAAGGCTATATACAAGAAATGAAGAAGTGAATCACAATACGCTTTTGAAGATAGGACATATGGAATTGGCCAGTGTGGCTAGAGAAAAGAAACGGTAACTCCTAGGTTTTTTACCTGACCTGTTGCTTGAAAGATGGTGTAATTTTCTGAGATTTTCAGTTCTGGAGAGAGATAAGAACTGCCGTGAGAAGGAGACAATTTGCCTATGCTGTCCCTCTCATTGGCCAAATTTTAAGCTCCTTTTCACCTTCTCATTCCTTGAGTCTTAGTTCAGGACTCCTTTTTGGTGAAGTTCTTCAAGTAGGTCAAACCAAAGCTCTGCTTTAAGTACATGCTCTCTTGGTGCCATGTGGGTAGATCCACTCGATACATGGTGTGGTGGTTTGAAAGGCAATGGCCCCCAAAGGGAGTGTGTGGACTGTTGAAGTAGGTGTGGTCTTGTTGGAGGAAGTGTGTCACTGTGGAGGTGGGTTTTGGGGTCTCATATATGCTCAAGCCACACCCAGTGAGACAGTTCACTTCCTGTTGCCTGCAAGATTTAGAACTCTCAGTTACTTCTCCAGCACCATGTCTGCCTTCACACCACCATGCCCCACCATGATGACAATCACTGAACTTGTTAACTGTAAGTGAGCCACCACAATTAAATATTTTCCTTTATAAGAGTTGCTGTGGCCATGGTGTCTCTTCACAGCAATAGAAACCCTAACTTAGACACATAGATTGGCAAACAGAAACAGTCACTACCCAGGTCCCTGATAATTAGTGTGCCACTCTGGTCTGGACCATGTGACCTACATCAACCAATAGTGTAGAGGCATATATGACAAATGCAGACACTTTAAAGGCATGTGTACAGTGGGGCTCGCCATGTCTTGCTTTGTTAAGTGTGGGGACCAGCCCCCACACTTATTTACCCCAGGAACTCTTGAGGAATGAGGAATAAGAGACTTAGTTAGAAATAGAGAAGAGAGAAGTAGAAAACACAGGATAGACTCGAGTGAGCCTGGATCCTTATCCACAGGCCCAGAACTTTATTCCAAAGGTCTATTTATAATAATGCCAAGGGGTGAAGCAAAAGACCTCCCCCTTGCTAGTTACAGTCACTTGGTACCCAGGCCAGTGGTCCAATCAACCTCTTATACAGTCCTGCTGGGTACACCCACTAGGAAACCTAGTGGGCTCCAACAGTTAAGGTCAATTACATGAGCCTGTGTAGTGGGTAATTGGGATTTATTAAGATATAAATTGGGGAAATGCACTCATGAATACAGAACTGAGTAAACAGCTGAAATCGTCCTCTGTTCTGCCCAGGAGTGAATGCACGTCCTGTGTCTGATCATGCCAAGGACTGTGTGACCCCTCCTTCTTTCCTTTCAGGAGCACATGTATGCAGGCAAGAAGTCAAGAAGTCACATGTGCCGGCAAGAAGCACCGCTTCTACCAGGCTGGATAGCCCAAGACGACGGGCAGGGCAAATACCACTACATTGCTTGTTACTTTAGAAAGAGGCTATGTGAAGAATCCTGGCTAACCTGCTGAAATAAAAAACATGATGCCTCTGCTGACAGGCTCCTACAGCGTGACATGTTAGTTAGGCCACCTACATCTGTCTACTTTACATTACTGTTATAAAATACCTGACACTATGGGGCTGGAGCAATGGTTCAGTTAGAAGTGCTTATTGCTCTTACAGAGGATTTGATTTTATTCCCAGAACTTACATGGTGGCTCACAGTAACCTGAAACTCTGGTTCCAAGGAAACCCATGCCCTCTCTGGCCTTCCTGCACATACACAGTGCATATAAACTCAAGAGAGACACATGCATACACATAAACATAATAAATAAATAAGCCTTGTTTAAAAAAAATACCTGAGGCTGGCAAATGTACACAAATAAAGATTTATTTGGTTCACAGTTCCAGATATTCAAGGGCATGGTGCTAGTGGCTCTGCTCTAAAAGACTCCATTTAGCAGATTTGGTCATAATGGCAGCCGCATGTGTGGATGGAAAAGATCACATCCAGGTGGGGTCAGACTCTGTTTAACAACCCTCTCCAGACAACTAAATGTTGTGGAATATTATTTTACAATGTGTTACATTCATTTATGCTGTGGAATATTTGTTTAATGATACAAAAATGTACCGGATTCTTTTATGTTGCATTTAACTCTGTGAAGCTATGTTACTTTGCCTGCCTGAAACACCTGATTGGTCTAATAAAGAGATGAACAGCCAATAGCTAGGCAGGATAAAGGATAGGTGGGGCTGGCAGGCAGAGAGAATAAATAGAAGGAGAAATCTGGGAAGAGAGGATCAAGAAGCAAGAGAAGGAGGAGAACACCAGGAGCCAGCTACACAGCAAGCCACAGAGTAAAAAGTAAAGAAAGTTATACAGAATAGAGAAAGATAAAAAGCCCAGAGGCAAAAGGTAGATGGATAATTTAAGTTAAGAAAAGCTGGCTAGAAACAAGCCAAGCTAAAGCCAGGCATTCATAAGAATGAATAAACCTCCATGTATTTATTTGGGAGCTGGATGGTGGGCCCCCCAAGGAGCAAAAAACCAAAAAGTAAAAAAGAAAAAAACAAAACAACAATAACAAAAAAAAAAACAACTAACAACAGCTAATAATAATGGACCAAAAAAAAATCACTTTAATCCCCTCCAAGCATGGTAGTCTCCATGGCCCAACATTATCCCCCTAGGCTCCTCATCTCAAGTGTCTCCATCTCTCACCACACATTAAGGAGCAAACCAAGCCTTCACATCATGTGCTACTGGAGGGCACACTCAAACCATCTCCAAACCACAGCATTTAATGAGATTACACACTACTAGCAGACTCACCACCTGGAGAGAAAGGCAGGAAAGAGTCCAGCTGAACAGAACCAAAGAACTACTATCCATCCCATTCCTGAACCATCTAATGCATTTTTGTAAGCCACTCAGTTTTATAACTTGTTATACAACGAAAGCTGACACAGTAGCGCATTTCTGGGTTGTATTTTTGTGTGTTTGATGGTTTGGTGTGGTGGTTTGAATGTAATTGGCCCCCATAAGCTCACAGGGGGTGGCACTATGAGGAGGTATGGCTTTGCTGAAGTAGGTGTGGCCTTGTTGGAGGAAGTGTGTCACTGTGGAGGCAGTCTTTGAGATCTCATATACACTCAAGCCACTCCCAGTGTCTCAGTTCACTTCCTGTTGCCTGCAGATCAAGATGTAGGACTCTCAGCTCTAGTACCATGCCTGCCTGCATTCTACCCTGTCCCACCATGATGATAATGAACTAAACCTCTGAAACTGTCAGCCACCCCATTAAATGTTTTCTTTATAAGAGTTGTTGTGGTCATGGTGTCTCTCCACAGCAATGGAAATCCTAAGACATTTGGCTAGCTTTATCTGTCCCCCAAGGCTGTGAGCTCTATACAAGCAAAGACTCTTCTAACCTTTGGTTAGAGCTCTATTCGGAGACTACGGGCACTGGGCAGCTGGCTTCTGCGTAAGTACAAGGGAGAAAGGAGGCGTGCACAACACAAGAGAGCAGGGGCCACTAAAACAGAAGTAGTAACAGGAGGCTCTGAAACACAAGTTACGACGTGAAAGAATAGAGGGATGCAGGGGGTAGCTGTTCTGTCTATGACCTTGACGCACCGCCCCGAGAGGCAGTAGGTAACTGCTCCACCTGCCTAGGACCTTGAAATACATGTCCCTGGGGCATGGCCTCCTGGACCCTTAAGACCTGGGACGCAGTAGGCATCGCTCTCTCTCCTTGTGGTTTTCGGATGCTGAGATGGACCAGGCGGAAGAACAACGTGGATCATAGCTCGGCTTTCCAGGACCCCACGATAACTCTCCCATGCTGTGATGACTTTTATCACTAATAAATGTCTTGCCCTTTATGCAGACTCCGTGGATTTCTTGCTCTAGGGGAATTTGAAGCAGAAGTTACACAAGACTAGGACATCCATTTGTGCAAAATAACCCTTCACAGAGTTGTAGAAGGCACTGATGAGTACCAGACAAAAAAATCACATTTCCCCTGCTTCAAGGAGAGGACACAAACTCGGGAGTGTTCTAGTCAAGCGTGGGAGCAGCCCAGGAAGCAGATAAAGCTTGGATGAAAGAGAAGTTTCTCTCTTTCCCTTTCTCACCCTCCCCTCTTACACACACACACACGCACGCACACACAGTCTAGGCCATGGGTGTTCAGAAGTTAAAGGAAAAGCTCTGGGCTCTCCGTGTCTCTTCAAACTGGGGACCTTCATTCAAGCCTATACCCTTGTTTCTTTTCTTTGACTTATTCCCTGGATCTAACATAATCTTTTTCATAAAGTAGAAACTGCAAGGGGGAAATTAATTAAGATGAGGCAGTAAGCACTATTGTGCTACTTAGATTCCATTTGGCTTGTTTGTTTGTTTGTTTGTTTTGTGTTTTTGACACAAGCTAGAGTTATTTAGAAAATGCCCCCATTAGATTGGCCTGTAGGCAAACTTGTAAGGCGGTTTTCTTGATTGATGGTTGATGTGGAAGGGTCCAGCCCAGTGTGGACAGTGCCACCCCTTCGCAGGTCATCCTGGGGTATATAAGAAAGTCTAGTGAAGAAGCCAGCAAGCAGTGGTCCTCCATGGCGTCTGCTTTAGTCCCTGCCTCCAGGTTCAGGCCCTGAGTTCCTCAATGAGCTGTGACTTGGGATGTGTCAGCCAAAGAAACCCTTTCCTCCCCAACTTGTTTTCCGTCATGGTCTTATCACAGCAATAGAAACCTAACTAATAAAGCTGTTCTTTCACAAAGGCACTTTCCAAGAGCCCACCCTGTCACGTTCAGCAGAGAAGCACGGGGACAAGCATGGCATTAAGTCCTCACATCCAGAAGCAGAGCCCGGACCCCATTCACCTTTACTTTCACGTCCCCCTTCCGGTTACTGGTGTGTTATTTTCCCCTGTACTTCCAGCGGCCCGGGAGGGCTACAGAGCAGCACCGAAGGAGGATGCTTGGTGGTCCCTCTGCCCAATGCCGTCCGGTCTCCCTTGCCCTGCCCTTGACCGCAGGGGCGCCCGCCGCGTTGCCACGGAAACGCCGGCCCGGCGCGGCGGCGCGCACGGCGCGCTCTCGCCTCTCGGTAGAAGTGGCGGCGCCTCCTGTTCCCGCGCGCCCTGGCGCCCCGGAGCCGCGCTCGTTGGGCTCCCACCCCGGGTCCCCGGCGGCGCGCAAGGCAAGATGTGGAGGCGCAACCTGGAAGACCGGTAACCGCCCGGGGCCTCGTCCTGCAGGCCGCCCGAGGGAGAGGGCCGGGTGGGCGAGGGGAGCCGGGCCCGGGGATCGGAAGCCGGCCGGGGCGTGAGGAGGCCGCACGGTCCCCGCGGCGCTCTGCAGCCGTCCTCCTCCGGGCTGCAGCGAGTACCGGGCCGAGAGAGTCTCCCGGCCGACCCACCCTCCTGAGCTGGGCCGGGCCCCGCAGAGGTACAGAGCCCGGGAGGCCGCTGGTGCCCGGGCCACGGCTCGCCCCTGCCTCCCCTTCACGGCGGGCACGGCTGGGGCCTAACCCCGGGCCTGCACTGTCCAAGAACTGAGTGGGGTTCTAGAGAAGGGCGGGCCTCCGGGAGAGTTGGGAAGGTTGGGCCTCTGGGTGCCCCGGGAATGTTTGCATATAAAATTGACGGGGCACAATCTTAATGTTTTAAGAACAGTGTCTCCTTTTTCTAGAGATGCTCAAACAAAACAACTGCAGGATGCTGTCACAAATGTGGAGAAGCATTTTGGAGAGCTTTGCCAAATCTTTGCAGCTTATGTACGGAAAACGGCCAGGCTGCGAGACAAAGCCGACCTCCTGGTTAATGAAATCAACGTGTATGCCTCTACCGAGACCCCAAATTTAAAGCAGGGTCTGAAAAACTTTGCCGATGAGTTTGCCAAACTTCAAGATTACCGCCAAGCAGAGGTATGAAGTGCGGTCATGGTGTCATTATTATAAGTCCAAGAAGTAATGTATAGGAATTCTGGAGACGTTTTCATTGTAACATATCTTAACAGAGGCGAATGCACACTTGATAATGCATTTCCTGTCTATACCACGTGAGTCCACTATAGGGAATCTTTCTATGACCTGACAACTTTCAAACTAAACCTAAGGTGTGTTTGAAGTCTTGAATTTCCCTATTCATTTGCCCACTTTGGTTACAGGTTCAGAAAAGGTGGCAAATACAGCGCTCATAGGGAAGGAAATCGCATGTGTGTCCCGTGTGCATCAAGTGCATTTTATAGAGTGCCTAGAGATGAGAATGCTGTAAATGGGCAGGCAACATGTTGCTGATATTCTCATGGTTTGAAAGTTGACCAGTCGGAAAGCTGTGGTTTATAACCCAGAAGCAAAACAAAGCGATACATCTGAGAGTTGGCTGTGTGGTTGATGTGAGGGACCGACCAGAGCCTTGCTCTTGTGGGGTCTTTCTTAAAGCAACAACAAAACCCCAGTCTTCTTACTTTGATACCTCGTAAGCCCTTTCACATACTTCTTTTAAATACTAGTTTACTTACAAAAGTCGCCAAGTTTAAACTCCATTGCTTTTTTACTTTTGTAATAAGTGCCATTGTTCTTTTTCATGTTTAAAACCTAGAACAAATTTCAGTTACCAAAAAATTTTGAACTTACCATCATTATGCATACAAAATTTGAGTACTAATCACGCCGGGATACTGTAAGGAAAACGTTGAGTTCTTGGCGTACATTTCTTCTATAACAAGCAATGCTCAGTGATACATGGTAATTGGAGATTCAATGTTTCAAAAGTAGTTTTTAGTCACATGTCACCAATAATTTCCCTTTCTAGAAATTTTTTATGCTACTTATCAAATAGCAAAGTGAATTGATTTGCATTTGCTCTGCTCTGTTTCCTGCTTACCAAATGGTGGAGGTGCTAATGAACAGGACAAAGGTAGGCAAGGGAAAGAAACGGAAGCTGTTAGGACAGCTTTGGCTAATCCACACAGTGTGTTATCAGAAATGGGATACATTAAACTGTCCTGAATATTCGTAACTCTGATTTCAGAATTCTGAATATTTAAATGTTGATGGGAATCTATTTTTTACATTTTCCTAAAACCTTTTAAAATGAAACATCCATATAACTCCATTTTCAGAAACTAAAGAATACATATGAAACAAAATTTCACTGATTAGATATGAAATGAAAATGCATTGATTAGGTAAAAATGTATCATTTTAAAAAGCATTTTAGTTGCTGTAAAAATGTTTGTTTTAAGCAATAGCTGTCATCTGATTGCCCACCCTGCCAAAGTTTCAGTGCCCCATAATTTTCTTGTGTATGTATTTGTAGAAAAGATACTTCTCTCGTTCCTTTTATTAGTGCTAGTAAGAGAATTGCTAGTATTTTTGATAAAAATGTAAATGAATATGAGAAAGTGTTTAATTCTAGATCTTTTAACTCTAGACTCTTTAGATCAGGTGTACAGTTTGGCAGATGAGTAACACCAAGCTCACTTACCTTGTTCTCTAGGCTCCTATAACTTATAAATGGCTATCTAAAGAAATGCAGCTAATACAATAATCCCCAAGCCTTTTGCTTTTGAGAGTTGTGTTTCCTTAAATGTTCCTAGTAACACTGTCTCTTTCAGATTCAGTTTTTCTGAAAAGTTGGCTTATAGGAATTAAGAGACAATATCTATAATTCCTAACAATATCTGCTTGAACACATGAAAATGGTAACTGTCCTAAAACTATAGATGTCTTCAAACTTCCTGGGAACTACAGCTGTAAGGTGAATGCTGTGCTTGTTCAAAGATGAGTGTTTAGAAGTGCCAGGCACATTCCTGTCAGGCTGTGGCTGTTGCTGTATGGTTTACGTTTTTAATGAATATTAGTAATATCTAGATGATTATCCTTTTATAAAGTTGTCATAGAGTATCATCTTAACTTAAAATTTCAAAAGTATTAATGTCTACAGTATTTATTTCAGATTAAACAGCATAGATTTTATTTCAGTATTTAAATTTTGATATTTCTATGTTTCTTTTCAGTTATATTTTATATAATTTTCAATAGGTTGAAAGGCTTGAAGCCAAAGTAGTTGAACCGTTGAAAGCTTATGGATCCATTGTAAAAATGAAACGGGTAAGTAAATCCATTTTTTAATCCATTTGGTAGTATGACAAGGTATGGGGTTTTTTTTGTCTTGTACATAACAAATACAAAATAACATGAGCTATTGTTTTTACATACTTTGAAAAAAATTTGAATCTTTAAAAATAATAAAGCATGTTTACCAAATTTGCTAAGTATACTAATATTCTACTCTAGCAGTAAAAATCATTATTACGGAAAGTTTTTAAAATAGGTAATGAATTTATATATTTTTGTTTTAAAGCAGGTGGCTTGTATTTTTAAAATCTGACAAACTGTTTTTAGAATCAAATCGGAGTAAAATTTGCACACAATAAAATACTTATTTTTCAGTGTTTGGATTTCATGAATACATGTGCTCTTTTAAGCATCACCACAACCAAAATCAGAGTCATGTATCTGTATGGTTCGTTTTCCGTTTCTATTGTATCTTAGTGGAGAAAATATAAATGAAATACACGCTCTCGTGTGCACACACACACATTGTACAGTACTCATAACTCCTGTGCGCACAGTGCCTGGATCAAACAAGAAGCATTCTTTCATTTTTAACATAGAGTGTTTTATTTCTTAAGTTAGAAGGTTTTATTAACAAAAATGCTTATTTTCAGGATGATCTCAAAGCAACATTAACAGCAAGAAATCGAGAGGCCAAACAGTTATCTCAGTTAGAAAGGACTCGCCAACGAAACCCATCCGATCGACATGTGATTGTATCCTTTGGATTTTGATGTTTAAAAAATAGTTTTGTAAGGTATGCAATACAAAAGTAAATGTATATGGAAATTATATATCTCTAGTTCTAAGTGTATGGAGAATTCTCCTGCCAGTGGCAAAAAAGAAACCCACTTAGGAATCCTCACAATAGAAACTAGCCAGCTGTAAAGTAGTTATACTTCCTGATCCAGTCCTTCTCATTTTTCAGATAGACTATCCCCAAATTCACTCAGAAATGTAAATGTTTTCAGAGTAAATTAAAAAGTAAATGCTAATGTCTCAATGCCCTATCTACTGTACTTCTAAGGAAGGAGGAAAAATTCCCACAATGGCCTTCATCAAATTAAAAAAATACATGAAACCATAGCTATAACTTTCAGTCAAACCTTCAGGAGATTTGAGTATAATTAAGGTCATAGCAAGACACTATAGTATCTAAATAGGAGTGTTTGCTGTAAAATGGAGCTTCTAGAAAACAAATTACTTCCTGAACAACAGAAACATACAGTGCTAGCACTAACATCTCCCTGTGGCCCCTCCCCATTCCACCTTACCTGTGTCTTCTTCCTACTCAAGGTTGATACTGCTAGCCCAGCCAGACTCCACATAAGGGGTGGCTCTCTGTGGGCACTGGAGGTTGAAGAACACCTGCATTCCTGAAGGCAGTCCCCCACGCAGTGATCTGGGGCTCTACTGGTTGCCTGGTCCATCTTCCTCTGGACCAACCTTCTGCTTTAAACAAGAAAAAGCAGAGAGGCAGCTCAGTTGGGCTGGTACAGAACATTTGTTGGACATTTATTGCAGCTTAAGGTTTCCAGTTAGAGTCTGTTTGAAGCAAGCTGAACAAACTAGAAACTGCTCCAGATTCACGCCTGACCACTCGGCCAGAGATTAGGGAATCACCAATGTTAGAGAATTAAGTCAGGAATCAACATTTGTTTTGTTCTCGGGAAAAGAGTCTCTGAAGACAGGTAAAAATAATACCTGAAATCCTGCATAGCTGTTGATTGAATCATGAGCGTTCATACGATCTTTAACACAGAAGTGAATATGCTGCTAAGTCTAACTTTCCTGACCTGTACGTGCTATATCAGCATTGCTGTAGAGGAAGGAGGTAGTCCTTATGGCACACCTAAAACAAGCCGGGGAAAAGCAACCTAAGTGAGTTACAGGTGAATTGTTCTGCTCTCTAGATAGATCTGCGGAAGGATTCTGACAACCTGAAACTAGAACCTAAATGACAGTGTACGTGTAAAGGTATTCGAAGAGCATCATAGTATTTTTACCAGGTAGACCCTTACAACTCAGCTCTTCACTCAGAAGTATGCTAAAGTTCAATATGGAAATAGAGTGGAGTCCCTTCTTTTGGTGACTATAATCCTAGGATCCACCTCTCCACCCCAAGGCGCCAGATGACTTCTGAACAGGCTGTGACAATCTGAAAGTTTTGACCAACTCTAACTGGCTATGCTGATAACTGTTCATGGAACTATACCTTAACATACTCAAGATTGGTTCATTGTAGAATTTTGAGCAATTTTCAGTGAATATAATAATTATCACAAATGTACATTTTTCTTTGCTAAAGAATGACTCTGGTTGAGTTCTGTGTTCAGGAAGAGGACTTCAGACTTCAGAAATGGATTCAAGTTTCTAGAGGCTGGAATATAAAGATCCCAGCTGTGACTTCTACTTCCCCATGCTTTCCTTTAGACAGTCTACAGAGATTCCTTCCCAGTTTTTAAACTTAAATATCAGGAAATGAGAAAGGCAAAGACAAGATCACACAATAAAAGTCACAACACTGCCTATCTATAAAATGTAATAATCATTAGGAGTCAGCCTGAATAGTCTCAGAAAAGAATGATCAGACATCGGGTAACTCACAGCAGCTGTTCTCAGAACAGCTCTCCAGAGGGGCTCTACTTTACATTTGAACTTTCTGTGTAAAAAGAAAGCCCAGAATTATACAGAAAAATTTAAGTAGTTTTTATAGTTTTTAATACTAGTTAGGGTTAAGTTGAAAGTCTTTGCTTTTAAAAACTATGCTTTATATGGTAAATATAAACAAATACAGATACAAGTTGATACACCTTTAAATGCATAGTATCTTGAAGTTGTATACTTACACTAATTGTGAGAGTAGTACTATGAAGGTATATGAGTACATTTAAAAATGTTCGATTCTCTTTGAAATGTATTTTTTCCTTTATGAAAATTTTCAGTCGCAGGTGGGCAATAAAATGGTGTGTCAAGAAATGGATCCTGAGAGTAAACCCTTTTACTTGTTTCAATTTATAGATTCTTTTAAAAGAAAGCAATAGCTCAATGTCAGAATGTTACATCTCAAAACTTTGACGACAAATGCCAGTTTTTCATACAGTTCACTTTAGAGAAAATATAATTTTAGTATAATGCACAAAACTTTATTATGAATAATTTAATCATAAAATTGAGGTATGTCTTTTTAATTGTTGGTACTGCTTAACATTTAATGTGTGGAGGCAACTATTGTCTTAAAGGAAGAGATGCTTAAAGAAAAATAACATGATTAAATTGGAATTTTCTACACTTAACAATATATATTGCTGCAGTGTGTACCTGAATTCTTGATATGCAACTAGGGTAGCTTTGGAAACAGTTTTTTTAAAATCTCTGTAGCTGCAATTCACAAGTAAATAGCAATATTTAGATAGTAACCATGATAATTGGTTTTACAACACATCTTGACAGTCTAGGGTGTATGTCACCATGTATAAAGCAACACATTAAAACTTGATATATGTATTTATCCATAAGCCAAACCAAAACAATGCACTTTAGTTAGCTTGTAAGAATCTGATTGATCAGATTGAGCTTAGCTTGAGGGTACATGCCTATAATCCCATCACTTGGAAGGTAAAAGTAGGATCAGAAGTTCAAAGTTATCTTCCACCAGATAATAAGCTTACAGCCAGCATAGACCATGATATATATCTATCTATCTATAGACAGATAGATAGATAGATAGATAGATAGATATTCCAAAGTTACATAGATATAGATACAGATATAGATAATGATGACATATACCTGTAATCACAGCAGTGAAGAGGCAGAGGCAGGAGAACGTGAGTTCACGATCAGCCTGCTTAGAGAATCCTAGGACAGCCCTATATAAGGAGACTCTATCACAAAAATTATATATCTAATGCATTTGGGGAACTCTTAAAAAGTAAATAGTGATAAGATACTTGAGTGTCACTAGCATCACTTGTATGTTGTGATAAAAAATTTGATTCTGTGTAGTGGAAATTGTTATAGCTGTAGGTCTTTTTACTGTGTGCTCTTAGTCCTTCACAAAGATTTATTTAGTTCATTTAATATATAAAATAGTCTTGTGCGATCATCTTTATTTTACAGATACAATATGAAAGCATTGAAAATACCAACAAAAGCCAAGTCTTGTTCCTGGGGGTGAGGGGTGAAGGAGCGAGGATTAAATGAAGGAGAGGATGATAAATGGCACCGACTGGACTAGAGGGGAGTAGTAGAAAACAATGAACCCCAGGGCACCAGAGAAGCCAGCTTTCAAGACGGGATTTTTGTTTGAGACTGAATGTCATTTAGCACACTTAAAGTTCTCTAGTGCATATATTGTTTAATAGAGTTCTTTCATTGTATGTGGTAAAAGGTAAATTTGAACAGTTTACACTTTATGCCAGAAAAAGCCAACACTGAAATTGTAACTTTTGCCAAAAAATTCAACTACATGGATTCTGATTGGAATCTCTCCTTTTGTTGGGGGATTCCCTTTTAGGCAGAAACTGAATTACAGAGAGCCACGATTGATGCTACCCGAACAAGTCGTCATTTGGAGGAAACTATTGACAATTTTGAAAAGCAGAAAATGAAGGACATAAAGGTAATTAACTTAATACAGAATGTTTTCTAATGTTACTTAAAGTTAGCCCAGAGTCCTTAAGTTAAAAAAAAAATTATAGACCAAAATATATCAAGTGTTATTATGAACACAATGACACATTATAGGGGCTGTGATCTTTTTTTTAATTAATTACTTTTTTTTTTTACATCCTGACTGCAATTTCTCCTCCCTCCTCTCTTCCTGGTCACCCTCCCCACCCCCATCCATTCCTCCTTTTCTCTTCAGAAAAGGGCAAGCCTCCCTTGGATAGCAACCAGCCATGGCATATCAAGTTGCAGTGAGACTAGGCACATTCTCTCCTATTAAGACTGGACCAGGTGACCCAGTAGGAGGAAAGAGTCCCAAAAACAGGCAATAGAGTCAGAGACAGCCCCTGCTCCCACTGTTAGAGGAGTCTGAAGATCAAGCTACACAACTATAACATATATGCAGAGGCCTAGGTCAGTCCCATGCAGGCTCCCTGGTTGTCAGTTCAGCCCTTGTGGTATGGTGGAATGACCTTTGGGTATATGCCAAAGAGTAGTGTAGCTGGGTCTTGAGGTAGATCAATTCCCAATTCTCTGAGAAACTGCCATATTGATTTCTAAAGTGGCTGTACAAGTTTGTGTAAGACAAATTGCTAAACAGTCTTATTAATAAAAAACCCAGAGTCAGATATTGGGGTGAAAAACTGAGAGATCAGAAAAACAGAAAGAAACCAGCCACATTCTTACCACTTGGAAATCCTCAGCCAAAGAGACCTTCTTCCTGTATTCCCACACCTATATGCCTTTCTGTTCTGCATCTCACTTTCTCTCTCCAGCAAACCACACCACTTCCTGTCTGTCTGTACAGACCTCCAGACCTCTATGGTTAGTGCTGGGATTAAAGGCATGTGTCACCATGCCTGGCTTTGTTCCCCAGTGTGGCCTTGAACTCACAGAGATCCAGATGGATCTCTGCCTCCCAAATGCTAGGATTAAAGGCCTGTGCTACCATTGCCTGACTTCTATGTTTAATATAGTGGCTGGCTTTTTCCACTGATCCTCAGATAAGCTTTATTAGGGTGCACAGTATATTGGGGGACACAATATATCACAAGTTTGCACTCCCACCAGCAATGGAGGGGTGTTCCCCTTGCTCCACATCCTCTCCAGCATGAGCTGTCACTTGAGTTAATGATCTTAGCCATTCTGACAGGTGTAAGATGGAATCTCAAAGTAGTTTTAATTTGCATTTCCCTGATGACTAAAGATATTGAACATTTCTTTAAGTGTTTGTTGGCCATTTGAGATTCCTCTGTTGAAAATTCTGTTTAGATCTGTACCCCATTTTTTAATTGGATTATTTGGTTTGGTGATGTCTAGTTTCTTGAGTTTTTATATATTTTTGATATCAGCCCTCTGTTAGATGTGGGCTTGTTGAAGATCTTTTCCCATTCTGTAGGCTGCCGTTTTGTCCATTAGACAGTGTCCTTTGCCTTACAGAAGCTTTTCAGTTTCATGAGGTCCCAGTTATTGTCGCTCTTAGTGTCTGCACTATTGGTGTTCTGTTCTGGAAATTGTCTCCTGTACCACTGTATTCAAGGCTATTCTCTACTTTCTCTTCTATCAAGTTTAGTGTGTCTGGTTTTATATTGAGGTCTTTGGTCCACTTGAATTTTTTGGGGGGTGATAAATGGGTCTATTTGATTCTTCTACATGCAGACATCCAGTTAGGCCAGTACCATTTGCTCAAGATGCTTTCTTTTTATATTTCTGGCTACTTTATCAAAAATCAGGAGTCCATAGGTATGTGGATTTATGTCTGGGTCTTTGATTCAACTCCATTGATCAACCTTTCTGTTTTTATGTCAGTACTACTTGGTTTTTATTCTATTGCTCTGTAGTACAGCTTGAAATCAGGGATGGTGAGACATCCAGAAGTTCTTTTATTGTACAGGATTGTTTTAGCTATCCTGGGTTTTTTATTTTTCTACATGAAATTGAGTATTGTTCTTTCAAGGTCTGTAAAGAATTGTGTTGTATTTTGATGGAGATTGCATTGAATCTGTAGATTGCTTTTTTAAGATTGCCATTTTTACTATGTTAATCCTACTGATCCGTGAACATCAGAGATCTTCCCTTCTTCTGATATTTCTCCAATATCTTTCTTCAAAGACTTGAAATTCTTGTTACTCAGGTCTTTCACTTGCTTGATTAGAGTTACACCAAGTTATTTTATATTATTTGTGGCTACTGTGAAGGGTGTTGTTTCCCTGATTTCATTCTCAGCTCGTTTATTGTTTGTATATTGTATACTGATTTTTTTCTTTTGAGTTAATTTTGTATCCACCCACTTCCCTGAAGGTGTTTATCAGCTGTAGGAGTTCCCAGGTAGAATTTTTGTGGTCACTTGTGTATATTATCATATCATCTGCAAATAGCAGAAGTTTGACTTCTTCCTTTCCAGTTTGTATCCCCTTGATCTCCTTTAGTTGTCTTATTGCTCTAACTAGAACTTTAAATACTATATTGAATAGGTTTGGAGAAAGTGGATAACCTTGTCTTCTCCCTGATTTTGCTTTGAGTTTATCTCCATTTAATTTGATGTTTGCTGTCAGCTTGTTTTATATTGCTTTTATTATATTTAAGTATGTCCCTTGTATCCCTGATCTCTCCAAAACTTTTATTATGAAGAGGTGTTATATTTTATCTAAGGCTTTAAATCGTGTGGTTTTTCTTTCAGTTTGTTTATATGGTGGATTACATTGACATATTTTCATATGTTGAACCATCCCTGCATCTCTGGGATGACACCTACTTGATCATGGTGGATGATCTTTTTGATATGTTCTTGAATTTGGTTTGTGAGTATTTTTTGAGTATTTTTGCATCAATGTTCATGAGGGAACTTGGTCTGTAATTTTGTTGAGTCTTTGTGTGGGTATCAGGATGAGTGTGGCCTCATGAAATGAATTTGGCAATGTTCCTTCTGTTTCTATTTTCTGGAATAATTTGAGGAGTATTGATATTAGCTCTTCCTTGAAGGTTTGGTAGAATTCTGCACTAAAACCATCTAGCCCTGCTTTTTTTGGCTGAGAGACTTTTCATGACTGCTTCTATTTCACTAGGGGCTATAGATCTATTTAAATTATCTGATCTTGATTTAACTTTGGTAGGTGATATTTCTTTTATATTTTTCCATTTTGTGGAATACACGTGTTTGAAGTATGACCTAATGATTCTCTGTATTTCCTTGGTGTCTGTTATGTCCTTTTCCTTTCTGATTTTGTTAATTTGGATATTTTCTCTCTGCCTTTTGGTTAGTTTGGATAAGGGTTTGTCTATGTTGTTGATTTTCTCAAAGTACCAACTCTTTGTTTCATTCATTCTTTGTATTGTTCCCTTTGTTTCTATTTTATTGATTTCAGTCCTGAGTTTAATTATTTCCTGCCATCTACTCCTCTTGGGTGTGTTTGCTTCTTTTTATTCTAGAGCTTTCAGGTGTGTTGTTAAGTTGCTAGTATGAGATCTCTCTAATTTCTTCATGAAGGCACTTAGTGCTATGAATTTTCTTCTTAGCATTGCTTTGTGTCCCATAAATTTGGGTATGATGCACATTCATTTTCATTGAATTTTAGAAAGTCTTTAATTTATTTCTTTTAATTTATTCTTTGACCCAGTGGTGATCCAGTAGAGAATTGTTCAGTTTCAATGAGTTTGTAGGCTTTTTGTTGTTTCTGTTGTTGAAATCCAGCTTTAATCCATGGTGATCTGATAAGATACAGGAGGTTATTGCAATTATCTTGTATCTGTTGGGACTTGCTTTGTGACCAAGTATATAGTCAGTTTTGGAGAAGGTTCCATGAGGTGCTGAGATGAAGGTATATTCTTTTGTTTGGGTGAAATGTTCTGTAGATGTCTGTTAGGTCCATTTGAGACATAACATCTGTTAGCTCCATTATTTCTTTTGTCTGTATGACCTGTCCATTGGTGAGAGTTGGGTATTGATGTCTCCAAAAATTAATGTGTAATATTTGATGTGTGATTTAAGTTTTAGTAATGTTTCTTTTACAAATATGGGTACCCTTGACATTTGGGGCATAGATGTTCAGAACTGAAACATCATCTGATAAGATAAAAAGGTAGATTATTGAATCTACTTTTAAAAAGGAATTACTCATTTTGAAAATTTTACATTGGATTGAACTTTTGTATATTGCATACAAATTTTGGACTCACCAAAATAGGGTAAGTAATGAAATTTTTTATCTGAATTTGTCAAATGTTAATGGACTAGACATTGTTAATGTAATTCTTGACTGTATATATTGTATATACTTATTGTATATACTTTTTCTTATATTAGCTATAACTTTTTTATTTTAAACAAAAAAGGGGAAATGTGGTTGATATATTGTGCGCCCCAATAAACTTACCTGGGGGTCAGAGAACAGAACAGCCACAATATTAAACATAGAGGTTAGGCAGTGGTAGCACATGCCTTTAATCCTAGCATTCCAGAGGCAGAGATCCATCTGGATCTCTGTGATTTCAGGGCCACACTGGAAACTGAGCCAGGCATGGTGGCACACACCTTTAATCCCAGGAAGTGATGGCAGGAAGCAGAAAGGTATATAAGGTGTGAAAACCAGGAACTAGGCTTTTAAGCTTTTAGGCTTTCAGCAGCAGTTCAGCTGAGATCCATTTGGATGAAGACTCAGAGGCTTCCAGTTTGAGGAAATAGGATCAGCTGAGAAGTTATTGAGGTGAGGTTAGCTATGGCTTGTTCTGTTTCTCTGATCTTTCAGTATTCACCCCAATATCTGGCTCTGGGTTTGTTTTTATTAAAAAGACTTTTTAAGATTCGTGTTACAATCATCATGGTGGATTTTTCCATTTATGAGTATGAAATGTCCTTCCCTATCTCTTTTGACTAGTTTTGGTTTGAAGTCTATTTTGTTAGATATTAGCATGGCTTCATCTGTAGTTGGAAGTTTCTCCGGTCCTGCCTGGGCC